CATTTTGTGATCCATTTGAATCGGTTTCTGACTCCAATTGGTTATCTATTTGACAGGGAATAGAGTTGTGCAATCCTCAGCAAGCTTTAGGACTAGGCAGTGGGACTCAAAGCACTTACTTCTCAGAGTCAGGAACCTTCTCGAAGCTGAAGAAGATCTAAAATATGCAAGACAGAGATACAAGCTTACAAGCAAGTGTTGAAAAGCCGAGCACTACATTCTCTTGGGATTTTATCTTAGAAGATAATGGTGTATAAATGAAACAAAGGTGGAAAGAAACTGCTTTCTTTATCTCGTCTGTTTTAAGGTTTCTTTCGTCACTAAAGAGACAAAAGGCTTTGTTTTGATCACTCTTTGAATCACTTTTTTCATTTTGTGGCTTAACCAGATCTTGAACCCTAAAACTTTTGGAAACGTTTTATAAATTTTATTTTTGTATTAGAGCCATACATACCTAAAGATCCATCTTCTTATCACCATCTTACATGACCGCCATATGATTAACACAAGCCATTGCAGCTTTTAAGTACTATTCGGACATAGTAAAAACAAGAAAATAAAAAAATCACACTAGTATCTTTAAATTGAGATTCAATGCAAAATGTTTATTAAGAGATCTCGTCTAAACCAAATGATTCACACCACTCATATCATGCCATCGGTGTGGTTGAGAGCACAATCGAGACATTATTGTTGTGAGAAAGTGTTGGAGCCAACTCTTTTAACTTTTTTTTTTTTTTTTTTCGAGCTCCAACTCTTTTAACTTAAACCCAAGGTAACGTTCGTTTACCTGCACGGCCACCTTGTCTAATGTCTTTGTGTTTTTAAGCACAAGTTCCACGAATGAAGTCACGTCCTTTGACTCTAAATTCCAACAGGATTTATTCCAAAAGACCCCATCTTTTGATCTCCAACATTGATCCGGATTCAAGCCTTGCAAGTCCAAGCATTTGTCAAAATAGCTACCCTACACAACAGGAAAAAAACATGGTTCTTGGATTATTCGAACTCGATGATAGTTACAAGGGAGGCCAAGAAAAATCAAAGAAGTTTATGGTAAATATAACGGTACAATGTTGCCATCACTTGCATGAACATTCACCGTCTTTAAATCAGGTGAGTTTTGTAACAGTCTTTCTATACCAGGAATAACATACTGAAAGATCTCTGTCTCAAGAATCAAAGTTTTTGTGATCCTATATAATTCTCCATAATTGGTGAATTGGTAAATGAATCTTTAAGTGTTTTTGTTCATATCTTTTTCTTCTTCAACACAATCTCATGACTTCGTTTCCTTTTTCTTTTATCAGGAATTTTTAGCCACATTGTTTTCTATATTACATAAAAAAAAAAAATCTTTGAAGTCCTTGTCAGATAATATACAGATTTTATTCAACTATTTTATTTAATCATTTTTAAGTATTCCCTAGAACTGCTCTTATGACAATAAATTGGCATTTCAAATAAATTATTTTTCTAATTTCTCTTAATTAATAAGCTTGATATATTATTTTATTATATGACGTAGTGGGCTACGCTGGACTTTGCAAAAAGAGTCTTATCTGTTATATATTAGGTTGTAGCTAAAACAAATGAGAAATTCAATAAAAAGAGAGAAATTATAACAAATATCAAGATGGGTCCTCTAAATTATTATATGTTTTGATTTTTCTATGAGAAAACTGCACCGTCCATTGTTTCTTGAAAACTCTTATCCGACTAAAAGAACAGAAAAAGCAAAGAAAAGAAAAGAGAAAGAGAGACGACTCTAATAAGATACTATATAGCCAGTGCCGGCTCAGAATATGGAGCGGGCGATGCGACGGCCAGGGGTCCAATTCCGTGTTCTAATAATTAAAAGACCTATTTTTTAAAATATTTTTACAAGAGTATTAAAAAAAATAGATTACAACATAAAAGTAAAATTTATAAGGGCCCAAAAAATTTTATTTACTGTTTTTAAGTTTTAATAATTAAATTTTTATTAAAAATATCATAAAAAAAGTTTTTATAACACAAAAACACTAAAAAAATTCTAAGGGTCTAAAATTTTTTTTGCACTAGGGCCCATCAAAGTATTGAGCCGACACTGTATATAGCACAGTCTCGCGGGGCTTAAATCAATAAACTAAAGACTTGAAACATATATTTCTTCGAAGCAGTGTAAAACCAATGTACAAATTCTCACTAAAGGAACACGTTATTTAAAAACCCCCTAATTAGTCCTTCAAGAACAATTAATAGTAATGTTTTCATCCAATAACATCCTCGAAGTCTCCTCTAAATCATTGGATCCAACGAAATTCATGTTTATCTAAACTAAATCGAATAAAGAAAACAATACAATAATTGCACTATGAAAAATATCAGAAGCGTCATAGAAATTGTCGGCTACCTCCATGCACGGAACCTTCACGAAACACTTGGTCCCTCACACACTTCATTGCCACGCTATACCACGTGTCAACCTTACATACCCCAAAAATTTTCAACGAATCATACCTTTTCACGTGTAACAAAATCCGATACCACGTGGCAATTAAAGACCCCATAATTTGCAACGAATCAAACCTCTTCACGTGTCGCAAACTTGTAGAACGTTGAAACCCACACACACGAAGTGTATATATCCTCCTCACAACACCAACATAAAACATAACCTCAAAAAAAGACTTGAAAGAACTCTCTCAATCTTTTTCCTCAAATCTTATCTTTAAATGATCCATACACAAACCGGCTCGAATCGTCGGATTCTGACCTTTCCGGCGGTGAATCCATGCGAATCAATCGCCATAACCACTCTCGTCGACTCACTATTACAACTCGCCGGCGAGATTCTTAGTTTCAAACCAAAAGACTTCTCTACGAACAAAAGAAGTGTTAAAGAAACTCTTCGTCATATCCAATCTCTTGTGATCTTCTTCGAGGAGCTCCGGATTCAAATCCGTGTCGGGTCAATCTCAGCGAGTCGTTCAGCAATCTTGAGCCTATCAGAGCTCCATGTCATCTTCCAGAAACTCAAGTTCCTTTTAGAAGACTGTACAAGAGAAGGAGCTAAGCTATATATGTTGATGAACTCCGGTCAAGTCTCAGCTCATTTCCGGGCTTTGACCCGATCCATATCCACTAGCCTAGACACGTTTCCAGTCGGGTCTGTGGACTTACCTGGAGAAGTCAACGAGTTAATCTATCTAGTAATGCGTCAGACTCGAAAATCCGAAGCAAGACCTGACCGAGAGGACAAGCGGGCTATAGACTCTGTTTATTGGTTCTTTAATCTGTTCGAGAACAGAATTAACCCGAACTCGGATGAAATACTCCGAGTTCTTGATCACATTGGTGTAAGAAAATGGAGAGATTGCGTCAACGAGATTGATTTTATACGAGAAGAGATCTCCACCGGGAAGAAGAGTAACATCGAAATCGAGCTTCTCAGCAACTTAATGGGATTCATATGTTACTGTAGATGTGTGATACTTCGAGGCATTGATGTAGATGATGAAGAGAAAGACAAAGAAGAAGACGACATGATGATGATTCGAAGTTTAAACGTTGATGATCTTCGTTGTCCGATTTCTCTAGAGATCATGAGTGATCCAGTGGTTTTAGAAACAGGACACACGTATGATCGGAGCTCAATTACAAAGTGGTTCGCTTCCGGTAACATCACGTGCCCTAAGACTGGCAAAACTCTGGTTAGTACTATGTTGGTGGATAACTTCTCTGTCAAGCAAGTGATTCAAAGCTACTGCAAGCAAAACGGTGTAGTTTTGGGTCAAAAGGGGAAGAAGAAGACGATTGTGGCGGAGAGTTTAGCGGCGGAAGAAGCCGGAAAACTAACCGCGGAGTTTCTCGCCGGAGAATTGATCAATGGAGATGAAGAAGAGATGGTTAAAGCATTAGTGGAGATTCGAATTCTCACCAAAACGAGTAGTTTTTTCAGATCTTGTTTGGTGGAAGCTGGTGTTGTTGAATCGTTAATGAAGATTCTGAGATCGGAAGATCAGAGGGTTCAAGAAACCGCCATGGCTGGGATTATGAATTTATCGAAAGATATCACCGGGAAAACTCGAATCGCCGGAGAAGACGGTGGTGGATTAAGGCTAATCGTTGATGTTTTAAACGAAGGAGCTAGAAGAGAGAGTAGACAATATGCAGCAGCTGCTCTGTTTTATCTCTCTTCCGTCGGAGATTATAGTAGATTGATCGGAGAAATCTCCGATTCGATTCCGGGATTGGTGAGAATCGTTAAAAGTTGCGATTACGGTGATTCAGCGAAACGCAACGCGTTGATCGCGATTCGGAGTTTGTTAATAAACCAACCTGATAATCACTGGCGTGTCCTCGCCGCCGGAGTTGTTCCCGTTCTTCTCGATTTAGTGAAATCGGAGGAGATCAGCGACGGAGTTACGGCTGATTCGATGGCGATTTTAGCGAAAATGGCGGAGTATCCAGACGGGATGATTTCAGTGCTCCGTCGTGGAGGATTAAAGCTTGCGGTGAAGATTTTGGGTTCGTCGGAGGTTTCGTCGGCGACGAAGCAGCACTGTGTTGCTCTGCTTTTGAATCTGTGTCATAACGGCGGAAGTGACGTCGTTGGGTCTCTCGCTAAGAATCCGTCTATTATGGGGTCGCTTTACACGGCGTCAAGTAACGGCGAGTTTGGAGGTGGGAAAAAGGCAAGTGCGCTTATCAAATTGATCCACGAATTTCAGGAGAGGAAAACCGGTCCGGTTGAACCGGTTATAGAAAGAGAACGGTTTATCCACGCCTGGTGATTGATACACACGCTACACAGTAACTCTTTGAGCTTTTTTTATCAGAGGGTTAAAAATATAACTTCATTTTTTATAGGTTAAGGATGTAATACTATTAATATTTTTATACGTATATATTTTACTTATATACTTGTATATTTTAGTTCTGGGATTTTTTAATAACCCAAAGAGCTAATACTATTGTAATGTAAACTAAAGATAAGAATAAAGAGAGCTTTAAACTCAAGTGGTGCAAACATTTATTCTGTGAACTAGAATGTATAATTTGTATTTTCTTGTTTCAATCTCTTCTTTTGCATTTAAACATGGCGATTCTTTTATAATCCAAAGACAAGAAGACTTGAAAAAAATTGGGATACTAAGCAACAAAGGAAGATAAAAATCTTTAAAGAAAAGTTTCAGGCTTTGGATTTTACCGGGACTCCAGCTTCGACCCGCTTGATCTCAAAGATGAGCATTCTCCACATCTTCAGCACAAACATCTCAGCTTCTTCGTCTAGAATTGATTGCAACAGCTCGAGCATCTGAGACGCCTTCACGTGTTGTTGAGTGTTTGACACGATGAAATCTACCAGCGTGGCTTCCTCTTCTCCGAGAAACTCCATAATTTTCTTTGAGATCCATGGTCTCATTCTTTCGTGCACTTGGTGCTTTTCAATGTTAAGAAAGGTGAAACATGTCAGTAACAAAACAAACTCACAGTCAAGGTAACAAAAAACAATGATCGAGTAAAAGTGTAATAAGATTTATGAGTAACTTACCTTGTCATACATAGCCCAGTTTATCTCGTACGAAAATAAGTCTTCCTTTGTCTTTGGAATTGTATCTATCAATTGTTTCGCATCCAGAAACTTGGTATCAGGTATCTTTGCTTTTCCAGACTCTTTAGCGTCTTTGGTTGGACCACTATGCCCGTCACCTCGGTCCCTGACTCTGTCCCTGTCCCTTTCCCTTTCCCTGTCCCGGTGGCTTGACTTATCATGAGAACGTCTGCTCCTTTGTTTTTCGGTTTCTATTGTCTCTTCCTTGGGATTAGTACTCGAAATTCGTTTAGCAAATTCAGCGGCTAAAGCCAAATGAGGTGGTGTATTCCCTGAGCCACCATGGGCCACGGCTTCCTGTTCCTCGGTTGAGTAATCTATAGGAACCAAAGGTTTCATCTTTTTAGCCTTACGCGCTTCGTCTTCATCCTCCTCATAGAAAACAGAAGGCACAGATGTTCGCTTTCCGGATCCCACAAGCCCAAATCCTAATTTCTTTGAGGGAGCATGTGCCTCTGATCCACTATTATTATCAATAGCCATGGATTCATTACCAGAACCATTTTGTTCAAAATCTGCAATTAGCAAAGGGAGCCATCAGAAATAGAAAGAGAGACAGAGAAAAAGGAGAAAGACGATAATGAGAATAAGACAAGAGAGAATATAAACTCCTTACCTGCTGCATGGTGCTCATTGGCAGATTCACCGACAGTTTGGAGAGTTGCCTTATGATCATTTTCAATAGGTGATGTCTGAACCGTTTCACTTCCAATAGCTGCCTGTCCAGATAGGATCCTTAAGGCATCTAATTGCTGTTGCTGCAACTTTTGCTCCTCGGCATTTCTCTTCGCCTCAGCAACCTCTTCTTCTTCTTTCAATCTATCAGCTAAGTCATCCTCCTTTTCTCTTAGTCGTCGTCTTCTTCTCTCATCTAATGCAGCCCTATGCCATCTTCTTCTTGAATCATCATCGTCTTCTTCCTCTTCTTCTTCATAGCGGATTTCCTTTTTCCTCTTACGCTCTTTATCTTTCTCTTTCTCCTTCTCGTACTGTCGTTCTTTCTCCTTTTCTCTTTCACTGCGTTCCCATTGTCGAAGACGAGTCTGGTAAGCACGCTCTGCATCCTCAAGTTTCCTCCTTAGCTCCCTCTCTTTCCTTGTCCGTTCTCGTTCAGCCTCCCTCTCGAGTCTATCAATTTCTTGCTCCTTTTCACCTCTTTCTCTGCTTCTTCGGTCATTTCTCTTACTCCAATCAGGAGAGCTTGTGTCAGGCCTATTTTGTTCTCTAGAAGTCTCAACATCATTTGCTGCGGCATCTACATGTAAGAATATCCTATCAGACCAATATTAAAAGGAAAATAGAAAATGGGAGCCGAATTAAGGACAAAAAAAAGAGAGCAGAAGATTAGTGGAGGTAAAAACAGACCACTCCTAGCTATGTCAGTGTTGGAGTCACCATCCTTAGATGTGAAAGCAAGTTCCATGCCTGAACGATCAGCAGGTGGTGGTGGGGGTGGTGGAGGCAGAGGGTTGGACTTTAACCTTTCTTCAATAGCACTTTCAATCTTTTCCATAGCCTCTCTGTCTGCTTCCCTTTCTTCGTCATTTATGACCGCAGAATTCGCAATATCGATGTTTTCTTTACTCTTGGGTTCTCCATCTTTCCCTGTCTCATTTTCAGCACTCTCAAGTTTTCGTCGCTCACTTTCAGGACCTTCAGCTTGGTTCTCTTCAGTTCCTACAGCTTGACTTTCCTTGGCTTTCTTTGCAGTCTCTATTTTCTTCTCAACATATTTTAGCAAATACTCCTTTGTTGCTTGATTAACATTCACCTACCGACCATATAGAAAATACAATGAGAATAAGGTTAAGAGAATACCGTAGAAGCAAATATAGATCTTGGTTGACACATAAGTGCATCTATTGGAGAAACATAAACATATTTTGAAATGAGATAAGAAATCCACAATTACCAAAAGTTCTTGTCCATCTATAGTGCGTTTGGTCAGTAGGCGTATTGCACGGAGAATCCCTTCAGCTGATTCAAATTCATAGAATCCAAAACCTTTAGGTTTCTTGGTGGTAGGATCTTCCGCACGTAAACAGCTTTTGACATGGCCACAAAACTGAAGAACAAAATGACAAAATCAATTCTTATAAAATGTATAGCAAAAGAGATGGGAGTAAGTGCCTCGAACATAAACAACCTTAAAAGTAGTAGAAGAGGAAAATACAGATAGAAAGAAGAAAACAAACCTCGAGAATAGACATCATAAAGTCATTTTCCACGGTTGCTATCTTGCCAATGTAAATTGTGGTCTGGGGCTTTTCTGCAGGTGTTACAAAAGGAAGAGAAGCTGGTCTAACCATAGGAGGCATTACAGGACGGAGACCAGGCATTCCCGGGACAGCAGGTCGTGGTGCTAGTTGAACAGCACCGATTGTACCAGGCGGGCGCATAATGAACCCAGGACGAACCATTGTTGGATATGGAGAAGGATACCGGAGAAGCCCTGCATAAACAAAAACAAGTCTCTACAAATTCATCAATAAATGTTCACATTGTAACACTCTGAACAACTTGGCATAAATCAAGAGTATCAAGAAGCAGAATTGAAAAATCATTTTGTATTGTTACCACAAACTAGAGCAAATTAGATATGCACACCAGAGGCAGTACAAATACCACCAGCTGAACAGAGAACCTGAAGGACACATTGAGAAGATAGCACCAGTATCGTAGTCATTATTACCACATTAAGTAGTCATACCTCATAGGGCAACTTGAAATAGGTAAGAATCTATAATCATCTGATAAATGTTGAATTTGAGATTCAGTAATATTGAAATGCCCATCATATCATGCCCATATGGAACTTAGAAAAACTATTACTACCCATCATAAAAGCTTTATTTCATCCCTTAGCAGCTTGGCCACAGAAGGGAAAAGGAAAGAGAAACATGTGGAAGATGTAACGGAAGGTGTAATTTGAAAGAATAGCAATACCTCAAAACCAAGACCAAGGAGCACTCAGTCGCTAGAAATGCTTGCTGCTGGCAGTTGGTTAACCCATCAAGTTTAAAGTTCTTAAAACTACAGTAATTCTCAATTTAACATATAAACTGGATAACATGAGGCAAAATTTTCAAGAACCTTTAGGTAAGAGGTTTAGTTAAGATGTTTCATGAATGTTATCTTCAAAGGGAGTTACACTAACTAAAACAATTAAGGAGAGAAATAAGAAGAACAAAAAGCGAATTTGCGCATACCAAAATGAAGGAGTCGTAGAAGTGAGTCCCTACCCAAAATTTGATGCCTTGCAACCATTCTCACGGAACTCAATCAAGACGCTGTAGGAGAAAACACCCGGTCATCGGTGTCCCTGTTTCTAGTTATCTCCCTAATTCCTCTTTCAATAAAACTTCTTTCTACTCTAATTAACTACATAGACATATAGTTCCCCTTTCACTACTTTATGAATCACATATTCACATTCAACATCCACAGAACGAAAAAAAACGCCACGGAAACAAACTCTATAGCCTAAAGTGCATCAAACAGAAAAAAAGAATAAAACTTTATAAACTGAAGAGATAGAAGAACCCACCCGGAGGAGGAGCAACGCCATGAATTCCGGGATAACCATTAGCCATAGGCTGGTAAGGCCTCATACCAGGCTGGTTCGGAGGCTGCAGTTGATACTGAGGCATAGATCCTGGAACCGCCATAGAATTCACGCCGGGCGGAGGAACTCCAGAGCTAGGGTTTTGAAAATTCCCAGCGGGAGTGAACTGCATACCGGGACGGAATGGTGGTGGCGGCGGAAGATTGGTGGGGAGAAGTGAGCCAGGAATCTGTGAAGGAGGAGTATAAGGCGGACCAGGCGGAATCAGAGCAGCTACTTGTGGTTGCGAATGGTGTTGAGGCGGTGGTGTTGTTAGAGAAGGATTGGGATTTGGATTGGGAATTGGAATCGGAGTAGTGGCTTCTGGTTTCTGAGAATTGAGATCCCCCGTGGCCGGAGAAGAAGATTCGTCGGCCATGGGAGTATATAGCTCGGTTACAAGCTTTGGCAATGGAGTAATGAATGACTTCACCGAATCTAAGATTTTGTGCCCTAGAAATCAGAAACTCCAATTTTAATTACTCTTTTATCTCTGTGTGTGTGTGTGTGTCAAAGTTACAATTTCTTTGGGACAAAAAAAAAAAAGGTACAAAACTTCGTTTATTGTTACACGTGTTTGTATACCATTGGCTAATTGTTTCCATTGTTTTTAAGTCAATTTTCATCTTTACAACCGTCGGGTAAGTATAATTTCATCTATACTTTAGTAAAGAAAAATTAATGGTCATTTGGTTAATTGACCAATAAAATCTTAATATATAAATTTATTTTTATGATATTGATAATTTTGTATTTGTTAGTAATTAATATACTATTTTATGATGAATTTTATGGCTTGACTTTTCAGTTATAACAAAAATATTTATAAAAAATATCACTTTGTGTAACTATTACTAGATTTTTATTATTATTAATAATGACTTTATATTTAGATAAAATACCAAATAAGCAATTTTGGGGTGTTCGGGAAAGAGATTTTTATTATATTAGTTGTGTTTATCTTTTGAAAATATTGTAATAGATTTGCATTATAACTAATAAAAAAGTAAAGACTGAAAAACGAGGTTGTTGTAAATACTATATGCTAACTTAGAAATTATATCCATAGAGTTTACTAAATTTAGGGATTTATTTTAAAAAGAATTAATGTTATTAAAAAAGTTTTAGAAGCACTATTTTCTTGCCAAGAACTATATATACATGTGTTTAGCTCTGATCTTCAAACTCCTTAATCATTTCGCTTTCTGAAAATTATTCTTAGTTATTTTTAAGGCAGTTAGAAGTTAAGTACAATGGATCCCAATATGGTGATAGAAAAAAAAACTAATAGCGGGCGATCTTTCTTCGCGTCGTATTTTAATGTTACCCAAAAAGAGTATAGAGAAAATATTGAAGACGCATAAAATTACAATACCTCATAATGGTCTTCAAGTGCAAGTTCCAGACGATGACAAATCATATACGGTTAACCTTAGAGAAAACAATGGTGTGTATCATATGGGGACTGGATGGAAAAATATCATAGAAGCGAAAAGTCTCAAAACAGGAGATCTTGTCAAATTCTATTGGAAGGATAACAAATTCTTATTGTTTACAGAGTGAGTTTTTCTATAAAAAAAAAGTTATCTCTCGTTAGTGTTCATTGTCTTAATAGATCTGTTTAACTAAATAAATATTTTTGCTGCATAATGATGTTTAGTAGGTTTTATTTGTTCCATAACTAAAACATATTGTCGAAGTCGGATTCACACACTCAAGTATTTTTATTAAGTATGAGAGATTACTCTTAAGGGACAAAAATGAATGTGTAGAAAGCTTATGAATTGCTACAAAAATTGCTATAGTATTTCTTATTCAAGAAGAAGATCCCCTTTACATGGTCATTCGCCCTTATATTTATACATAGAAAAATGTCAACTAAATGGCTAATTAAGTACAATTATTCTCTCTTAAATGCGTCCATTTTGATCTTTGACTTTAATGCTTAATGCTTGAATTTGAGTTGATTCCGAGAACTTCATGGGCTTTGCCAATCGGCCCAAATATCCTTAGACCGACTTAACTGTGACTTCGACTCCGGACTTATGTCGAGGTGCAATCACTTCGGACTCACCTCGTGGTGATAACCACTTCGACTGTTTCTCACGGGTCTAATGGGCTTTATCCTTCGTGGGCCGTTACCTTGATTACGTGGCAATCTTTGGTTGGTCCCGGACTACTGGTGCGGGATCCGACAACAACAATTAGCCCCCCAAGTCTTTCGAAGTGCTATCCCAATTCGGAGGACTTTAATGCTTTAATGACCAAAGATTGCGTTTTGAGGAATCTTCTGATTTTCCGCCAAGATCCCGTCAGTCCTTTAATTTCGGCGCTATCCATTTTTGGCCGCGTGACTTCTGGCGCCATTATGATCGTATATTAATTATTTACTATTAAAACGAAAAAACCTCTCCACTTCCCCCACGATTTCCGAGGCGATTTCATCATTATCACCTAGCTTGCGTGAGGTAACTTCCTTCATCATCATTTTTACTTTTACTTTTACATTTGCGCTTTATTCGAAACTTCTCTCTTCTTTTCCTTCGCCAAATTTCTCCTCGTCGGATCTTGAACCTTTCATCTTCTCTAATGGCTTCTGATTCTGAAAGACCCGAGTCTCCGTCATTCGACGATAAGCGCTCTAGTAATGACGAGTGCACTCGCCCTAATGATATTGCCGGTCCGCACTATAGATCCACTTGCACCCTTCAATCCCTCGAGCGGTTGAGAGAGCTTTGCCGGATTCCGCCGGAAATTATGGCGGAAGCACAAATAGCTGATCCCACAGAATCCCCAGAGAACCATCGCGATGGTTACTTCTGTGTGTACGAGATTTATTTCAAGGGTTGCAGACTAACCTTCCCACTTCCCGAAGCTCTAGTTCGGTACTTGGCGGTTCTCGAGATCGCTCTTCCTCAATTAACCCCTAATCTTCTCCGATCCATCCTCGGAATTATAACAGTAGCGGCAGAAGCCGGATACATTATAGGTATCCCCGAGCTGAATGAGTTTCTAAGCGTGAGAAGTTCATCGAAGAAGACGGGGTATTTCTCGGCATACCCTAATGCTAACAGGAACGTCATTTCACATCTTCCAAACAAGGATGAAAATTGGCATCACCCTTGGTTCCTGATTAAGAAAACCCCTGCTTCGATTGGAAGTCTATCAGATTTACTCCCATCGAAGTGGTCCGCGAAACCTGGTAGAAATTAGGTCGCATACATTCCTCCAATTTGTTTTATTATTCCTATTGATTAAACTTGTTTTTTTCACTTCGCAGCTTTCGTCGCTCCGAGTCTACCATCTGAAGAATTCATTGGATTCTTCAAAATAATCCTCGAAGGGGAGACCCTTTGGAATTCTTTCACTCTCGAACGGTTCATAGAAGCCAATCGAAAACTCAGGATGAGCCCTCCCAATCAACTTCATCGTCTTCCGCCTCCTCACTCAACCCAGGGAATGTCAGCTCGGGCTCTTACCGCCCAGCGAAAAATGATTTCCAAGCCGATGGCTGAGGCTTGTGACGAGAACAAGGCGTTCCTTGCGACCGCCATTGACAAAAAAGATTATAGTAAAACCTTGTTGGTTGACGACGGTAGCACCGAAGGAGCCAGATTCGTCGCTGTTTTCAGATTGACACCTCGACGTGAACGTCACGATGACCGTCCTCCCCGGAGGCCCCATTCTCCTCATCGTGACTCTCCTTGTTCTTCCCGATATGAATTTAGCAACAAACCGCTTAAGGATTTGATTTGCAAAAAGAGGGACAGGTCATCCCGTAGTGGTTCTTCTCCGCGGAGAGAGAAGTCACGGGCCCGGTCTGACCGTTCTCCTCGATCGTCTCCTCCTACTGAACCAATGGGTCCTCCTCGTCCTGTGGATATGTCTTCTTCTTCTCAACATAGTGGCGAGAAGACGAACCTGGGTGCAGATTCTCAGAAGGAAAGTTTTGAGTCTTGAGATGACTCTCCGAAGACAAAGTCTGCTCTTGTTCCTCAGATCAAATCGCTCTCAGGTATGATGATATACATGTATTCTTTTCTTCTCGTCTTGTACTTATCCTGAATTTCTAAGACCCTTCCTCTTTCGCTTTCGTAGCCATGGAGAAAGAGGGTAATGTTTTTCGGTGCTTCAAAACCCGATCAGGTGCAATCCTGCCGGATTTTAACAAGTGGCGCTCTTCGATTCGTGAACGATACCTACTTCATACTCATCATTCATCTCGGGTTAGTTCCGCTTCATTTTTATGATTTCACTGTCATTCTTCGAACTGATCCGTCATTCCGGGTTTATATGTAATACCAGGCTAACGGCGAGCTCAATGACATAATTGAACATTACGAAGGGTTGGTCATTGGTCGGGAAAAAGAGATTGATACGTGGAAGAGCAAGTTCTCTAATCTCGAGGCTGATCTCCGTTCTTTTACCGACTCCAAGCACGATCTGGAGGACAAGGTTGACGGTCTAACATCTGAGCTTGCGAAGATAAAGGGGGAGCTGCAAGACCAGTACGACCGGAATTACAAGCTCCAGGATGAACTCTCTGGTGTTCAGGGTAGACTTCATGAGTCTGAATCATCCGCCGATACCCTGAACAACCAACTTACTGAGCTTCACGCGAAGTACTAGGCGATCGCCAAGTTGCGTGATTCCGAGTTAGCAAGGTCAGCATCGAAGGCCAGAAAAGAGGTCAAGGGACGTGGAATGGAGTTGATTCAAGGGGCCATCCGCTTCATTCAAACCGAGAAAGCTAGGTCAGATTTGGAATCAGACATCAAGGAGCACGAGAGCAACTTGATTCTATTGGATCAAATCCATGATGAAGATTTCTCCGAGGTGCAAGAAAGAACCGAACTGTCGGCTAATCTATCTGAAAAGCGGAGTCGCTTGGCGGCTCTTCCTACTTTGACCTTCAACCCTCACCACTTCGAGGAATTTTTCACAGAATCACCTCACATAAGTGAATCGGGTCTAGAATGGGCAGGTAACCTTTGGCTCCTGACACTTACTACCTTTTTCTTGCCTTATATTTTTTAATTGACTGGAACTGTCCTTCTTAGGCTCAAGTGGGACGGAAGGTATCGTCCCACCCGAAGTTCCTGCGGCACCGGAGGTCACCCCGGAAGATGGTTGTACCGTGGAGAGCGGACTAGGAGCTTCATCTGATCAAGCACCAGTCAAGGAGGCGAATGAAACTTCGACAGCCGAGCCGGAGTCCGAGGTGGCTGTCAATCCATAGTGGCTGTGTCCACTTTAAACTGGGGATTGTCCCATTTAGTTTAAAACTTAAATTTGAACATGTTCTTGCCTAAGGAGGCTTTTTTGTCGTTTTACAAAATATTTGCCTAAGGAGGCTTTTAAACCTTTTTAGGTCGTGATCCCAAGAGGGTTTGGTTAAAACTATGTGCGGGTTTGCAAAGTCCGCTTTTAACCTTTTGTGGCCTTGTGGCTATGCTTTCGAGACTTTTAGGCTGAT